CATGCCTAAAGGAGATGAAGAACACACCAAGAAAGCCTTGGACTTCTTCCTCTTTGCCACCTCCTTTTAGGAGGCCAGCAAGGGTGGCGTCCAAGCTAAGTTGGAGGTACAATCAATGTCAAGTTCGAGTCCATCTCGAACTCCTACAACAGTCTATAGTAAAACGGACGTCCAAGTCTCATATGGACTCTGTTTTCGACGATCCACGTATGAATGGAAAAATAATTTGATAAGCTAAACAATAACACCGGTAGTAGCTTGCTCATAGAATGCCAGGCTGGAGTCATGTACTATCTGAGAAGAATTGATAAAGCTAATGTAATTATAATAGCTACCCCTCTGTTTAAATTATAAATCATTTTGTCTTACTTTGCTCGGTCCTGTTCGCTTAAACTTATCAGGCTGACTTATCAACTATGGTATAATATTTTTCTCTCACAATAAATCAGTGAACAATGCTTTTCAGCCTGACTTTTCAGCGAAGCGAACAGGCGCTAGAAAAGCCAATAAGACCCATTATTGGGATTTGAGTTGTTTATGAGATGAAAAGAAACATTAAGAGCATCTCCAACAGTCTTTCTAAATCTCACTCCATAAATCATAATTTAGAGAGAGTCATTTATATAAAAATTATTTTTTATATCTTTTGACTCCCCAATAATTTTTCTATATCTCATGCGCACTGTAAAGAGCCATTCTTGTCTTCTATTTTTGGCTAGCTAAAAATCTAGAATAGAAGTTGGCTATATTTAGATAACCACTTAGAGAAGTTGTTGGAGAGTAATTTTTCATCAAAATCTATATTCCTAACATTTATGAAAGATATAGAGAATTTCTTGAGTTGCTCTTAACATACTGCGTATATCGGCGGTCTGTCCTCCCTGGATAATTTGTCCACCTTTGACAATCATGACCTTTCACATTTAAGCTAGCGTACTACCAGAGTAGTACTACGGTTCGTCTACAAGTACGTCAACTATGGGTGACGTTCATTTTCACTAGAGCTTGACTTTTGCCAGTCCAGCACGGCGACCAGTGCCCCCAAACTACTACTGAGGTGTCAAACAATTACTAGGAAAAGAGAGTATAAAGAAGGAAAAGAAAAAGAGAAGGGACCGGAGGCCTAGGAGGGACCTAAGCGAAAGTGTTTCGATTAATCAGTACAAGTACTCTACTTCCTCTGTGCCTAAATATCTATCTCCACGCTTCACTGGACTGTCGTCCAGAGATTGGACTGGGCATTCGGTTTTAACAGACACTTCAGTTCGATTTTTTGCTTTCTGAAAAGTTCGGCTTGTCAAAAAAAAAAACTATCTCAAAATTGAAAACCAATAGATTCAGTTTCGGTTTAAACCGAGAAAACAGAAATATGTTCCACGAGAGAAGAACAGGCGCTCCGCTCGGCCTTGGTGACCCTGCGTGCGCAGCTGCGCGCTGCCATCGCAGCCTGCTTGCGTTGCCGCCGATGCTCGCGCACCGCAGCCGCGCACTACCGCCGTTGGTGCGGCCTGCTTGCGCCGCCGCTCGTGCAGCAGTCGCACGCCGCCGCCTCCCGCCTCGCGCTGCAGCCATGCGCCGCCGCTGCACTACCGGATTCAGGGGCTTTGCCGAGTGCCAGGGGCAAACACTCGGCAAACAGTTTGCCGAGTGTTACACTTGGCAAACCCTTTTACAGCAAACGCTAGTTTGCCGAGTGTTTTTTGTTGTGCACTCGGCAAAGACGTTGCCGAGTGCCCAAAAACTACTCGGCAAACATTTTTGGCAAAAAATAAAAAAAAAACAATTGCCACCACCGGCCGCCGCCCACCACGGCTGCCACCGGCCGCCGCCTCCTCCAGCGCCCAGATCCGCCACCACGCCGCCGCCAGCACACCCACGCACCACCACCACCACCACCATGCCAACACCACGAAGCCCGCCGCCACGCCGCCCGCCGCCCGCCACCACCAGAGCCCAGATTCGCGCCGCCGCGCCGCCACGCCGCCGGGAAAGGAGGGGGCGTCGGATCCGGGGAGAGGGCGTCGGATCCGGTGAGGGGGGGCCGCCGGGGAAGGGGGGGCCACCGGGAAAAGTAGGGGGCCGTCGGGAAAAGGAGGGGGCCGCAGGGGAAGGAGAGGCAGCTCCACCGCGCCCCGCCACGCCCCGCCCACAAAGCCACGCCGCCGTGCCATGCCTGCAACGCCGCTCCACCCCTCCACCACCGCCTGGGGTGCGCCGCCGCCGGGCCCCCTCCCTGGATCTCGCTGTTGGGGGAGGGAGGGGGCGGCACCGGCCGCCGGATCTCGCCGGTGGGGAGGCCGCGCCGAGGAAGAAGCTAGGGAAGGGGGGAACCGGGGAAGAAGGGAGGGGCGATGAAGAAGAGAGGGCCCGGATCCATGGCGTGGAAGAAGGGAGGAGGGGAGGGGAGGGGCCGGATCCAGCGGGGAAGAAGAAGGAGGGAGGGGGAGGGGCGGTCGGCGGTGGGGAAGAAGAAGGGAGGAGGGAGGGGGCGGCCGCCAAGAAGAAGAAGGGAAGGAGGGAGGGCCCGGCGGATCTCGCCGGTGGGGAGGCGGCGCCGGGAAGCGGGAGGGGAGGGGCCATGCCGGGGAAGAAGGTAGGGGAGGGAGGCGGCGCCGTCGGCGCGGAGAGGGGGCGCTGGGTGAAGGGAGGAGAGAGAAGGGGTGGGGATGGGAGACGTGGGGGTGCTGGGGATGCGGTTAAGTAACGAAGTTTTTTGTTTGCCGAGTGTTCCAGATCGAACACTCGGCAAAGTTTTTTTTTCTTCTCCTTTTTTTTGCCGAGTGTTCTAGATCTGAGCACTCGGCAAAAAAAATTTATTTTTTTTTCTTTTTCTTTTCCAGAAAAAAGATTTTATTTCTTTGCCGAGTGTTTTTTTTAACACTCGGCAAACCACCTCTTTGCCGAGTGTTTTTTTTGACACTCGGCAAAACGGCCTATTTGGCGAGTGTTTTTTTGCCGAGTGTTTTTGTCGCGGCACTCGGCAAAGAACTTGTTCGCCGAGTCCCCGAGAGAATACACTCGGCAAACCCAAAAACACTCGGCAAATTTGAGGATTCCGGTAGTGCTGCCCGTTGCCGCGCATGCATGGCTCCTCGCGCCGCCGCCACACCCTACAGCTAGGGTTAGGGATTGGGGAGCCGCGCACGCGATGTAGCGAACAGTCGTGAGGACTGAGGGGCCAGGGCAGGGGCAGGGATGGGGATGCGGAGCCGAGGTAGCCAACAGGCTAGGTGGGATCTAGTTTGGGGCATTGGAAGACGGGGACGTGGGTTGCCTGGTATTTGTTCGTAACTTGTGTTCGGTTCTGCGGTTGCTCGGTTTTCTACGTCCTCAAACCGAAGCCGAAATCAAGCACCCAAATTCGGAGACATAAAAATCGAAGCCGAAACCAAAAACTAAAAACCGACATTTTGGTTCGGTTCGGTTCGGGGTTTATAGTTAAAAAGTGCCTAGCCTGAGTATGAGGGAACATGATAGAGCGCAGAAAACTATAGTTTTGAACATATGCAAGTTTCAAAATAAATTTAAATTGGAGATGATGCTCATGATGATGATGAAAAAGCTCATCACGGCCGGTCGTGACACATCCCATCAAAAAGTAGTTTGCACATAAATCTTGCCCCTTGTTGCTGTGGATTTTGTGATGTTACTTGTTCTCTAATTGTTTTCTTGGGTTTCTACCAAATCTATCTTGTTGCAAGGTTCTAACTATAGGGCATTAGTGAAAAATGAAACTCATCCAGGAAGCTTGGTGCTTCACTAGCTTGGTCTAAGTTTAATTTACTGTTTGTCAATTGGAGCTATAGTAATTTTTAGCTAGATCACGCAGAAGTGGAGCAGGAATTTCATGAACCTCCACAATCTGCCAATCCGTTGCATCGAGTTTAAGTTTTTATAGGCCTGTTCACACCCTTCCTCTATCCCTTTCCAGATCCTTTCAAATCCTTAAGCCAAGCCTCGAAGCCTTTCTAATTAAGAGAAGTCAATCAAAACCTCGTAAGAATATAGGATTTGTCCTATCCATCAAGCCTCATGCGCAAGGGACGCACAAACATACCACACAATCAAGTCATAATTGGCCCTAAACATGAAAGGATCCAAATGGATCACGTAAATAGATTTTAAATAAAAAAAGGATGTTCTGGTGGTCAACAATATAATTTGTAAAGATAGCTTTATATAAAAAGGCTACATTAAAAGTACCACTCAGTACATCATCAAAATGAGAGTTGGCCTGGCTTCTTTGGGTGATCTCATATAAAAGCTAAAAATACATACCGCATTTGCATTTTATTATCTTCTCAATCAACTTCACCCTGAGAAACTGTAACAAAGTCGCTCATGCATGCAATTGGTTCATGTGTTAGTATGCGGATTCCTTTTCGAGAAAAGAAAAAACAAATTGTATAAAGTCATCTCAAAGTAAGAATATACCAAGCATCATTGCATCCAGCGACTATGAAACAATAATAATCGACAATATTTTAGGTTGCACAAATCTTTTGTTACGTATACATATTGGTCATATGGAAACTATATACTCCATCCGTTCCAAATTATAATTCGTTTGACTTTTTTGACCTCAAGTTTGACCGCTCGTCTTATTTAAAAAATTTGTACAAACATAGTCAAATTTAAGTCATTCTTGAAGAACTTTTGTTAATAAAGCAAGCCACAGCAAAAGAAGTAATATTTAGCACAAATTTTTGAATAAGACGAGTGGTCAAACTAGGGATAAAAAAAGCCAAACGAACTATAATTTGGAACGAATTTAGTAATAGATTAGCCACAAAAATCAACCTCAAAGTTCTATAATACTATTAAAATGACTATTCATTTCAAGAGGGTTCGATAGATATATTCTGAATATGGTTCGATAGATATATACTAGCTCTATAAATAAGGTACTCAACAACCCAAGATGGAGACAAGTTTGTCATGAGAAGATAACAGTTTGCTACATGGCTTCATATGGATCATTGTTAGCCCCGATTTCTCGGTCAAAATTCATCCCAATTCCCAACAACGAAATAGCTGTCTTCCAACGTGGAGTTTGACTGAAATTCACCCTGTGCCATCATTTCTTCCATGGAGTATGGCTGTTCCGGAAATTCACCTTGTGCCATCATTTCTGGAGCTAGCCCTGCGTGGTTGGCTTCACTGCTAACTGCTGGCTCCATTACTGGGGTGTTCGATGTACATGGCCATGTGTTTTCTGGCTCTGCATTGATCCCTAGCAATTTGAGTGTGTTTTTCAGGGTTGATGCTGCATTCTGACCATAGAAGCGGAATGTATATGATGTTAGTGCTTATTCCTTGTTTAATATATTTATATATATACATACATACATATTTCCTTCGATCTATAGTGAGAAAACTATCAAAGGACGCCATATATTATATTAGCAATAATCTTATTTATTTTGGTTACATCTTAATAAGGTGTCTGTAGCCTGATGTGTTCTTCAATTACCCTATCTAGATAGTATTGATCACCTACTGCATAACTGACCTGTACTGCTGAAGCAATCCAACGCGCCTCTTCTTTTCTGTGAATGGCAACTTGTTTGAATGATTCCTTCATGCTATATAAGAATGAAACTTCCTCCTGAATTAATGTTTGGGAAAAGAGAATATATAAGCTACCCAGTTCTCCAATGGGTAAACGACTTTCTCACTTATCTATTAAATTTATTAATTACTGTTCCACTATATACTACTACATTCCAGCTAAAAGTCTTGTTATTTTTAGTACCATAGAGTTTTTGACTAATACAAATGTCATGTACAATCTTGTATTCATGCTAATAGTATAGACCAAACTTCAAGTTCCCCTACATATGGTCATGCCATCACAAAAACTTATATATATTCATGCTAATAGTGATGGATAAGGTCACAAGGGACATATAAGGGGACATCCCTTGGTGTATGCTTTTCGCGGACGATGTAGTGCTAGTTGATGAAAGCCGGATATGAGTAAATCAGAAACTGGAGTAATGGCGGAAAACTTTGGAGTCCAAAGGTTTTAGACTCAGTAGAACTAAAACTGAGTATATGAGATATGACTTCGGCACTACTACTCGGAAGGAGGAAGATATTAGTTTGGAAGGTCAAGTAGTGCCTAGGAAGGATATCTTTCGATATTTAGGATCAATGCTACAGAGAGACGGGGATATTGATGAAGATGTTAGCTATAGAATCAAAGCAGGGTGGGTGAAGTGGCGCCAAACATCTGGTGTCCTATGTGACAAAATGGTACCACAGAAGTTAAAAGGTAAGTTTTATAGGACGACGATTAGACCTGCTATGTTGTATGGTGCAGAATGTTGGCCTACGAAAAGACGACATGTTCAACAAATAAGTGTCGCGGAAATGCGTATGTTGCGTTGGATTTGCGGTCATACAAGAAGGGATCGAGTTCAGAATGATGATATACGTGATAGATTAGGGGTAGCACCAATTGAAAAAAAGCTTATCCAACACCGGTTGAGATGGTTTGGACATGTCCAACGGAGACCTCCAGAGGCACTGGTGCGTAGTGGAATCCTAAGCCAGGATAGTAACGTGAAGAGAGGCAGAGGAAGACCGAAGTTGACTTGGGTAGAGGCAATAAAATGAGACTTGAAAGGATGGAATATACCCAAAGACTTAGCCTTAGATAGGAGTGCTAGGAAAACAGCTATTCACGTGCCTGAACCTTGATTGCTTCTGCTGGGTTTCAACTCTAGCCTACCCTAACTTATTTGGGACTTAAAGGCTTTGTTGTTGTTGTTGCACAAGATTTGAAATGGTTAGCTAGCTGGCTTGCACATCGTATATATATATATTTTTTGAAAACCAAATAAAGGGAAGGTGTATAAAAGAGGTTTCAATTAATCAATTTATTTTCCAACATAACTTACCAAATCTATATATGTAATCGATGGAATCTTGTATAAATTAAAATTAAAGAAGCTAGTTAATTGTGTACCATCGGTGAGAGTTGCGAAGAGAGAGAGAATTATAGGTGTATATGCACACTATCATATGCACTATACTACAGTATAATCTTTTGGTGAAAACTCTACTCACCTGATAGGTAGAATCAGCGTCACTGGAACTAGTAATGCAACCTGGAAGATTTCAAATTAGTTTTGAATCCCTTGTGGACTAATAATATTAATAAGTCTAATAATGCATGTGGTGAGTTGGTGACCATCTGTGTGTGTGTGTGTGTAGTTATTTTGTTGGCATGTGGCAACATTCAAAATTACACATCATGGTGCATTAATACATACACTATTAATTGCAGGTCCCTTGTACTCTGTAAGCTGAATTTACTAACACATATATCATACATCAGTTTTAGTTTAAAGATTCAATATTTTGCTTTTTCTTTTGATTACAAACATACCACTATATGTTCTGGCACTTGTTTTATTGTATGTGCTAACTTCACAAACATCGTATGTCTATATTTCTTAATTTACTGTGTAATAGGAGTATGAGTTAACTTGAGCACGTGAATCGTGGAAAAATCAATACTAGATGCTACTATTTAGTTGAATTGAAGGAGTATATAGAATGATATTATGTTGTAACAAGATTAAGCTGGAAAGATAGAATTGTCCAAACCCATTCTTCTTTGTTTACGCACAATAACTAATAATCTGTGCACTGCATTTATTACTAGATGCTACTATTTAGTTGAATTGAAGGAGGCTGATATGAATGAAAAAAATGTGGAACATATGATACTAGGCTTCATTACAATATACCATGCTTAACTAGTACTCCCGCTATTTTTGAATATACAATGTTAAGGACAAACTAATTAGTCATATGACACATTTAAAAATCAAGGGAGTACTACATAAATCATATTCCATAAATAGTTATTTATTTGTTAACTCACCACCAGGGGTTAGCACACCTTTCGCCCATGATATATAGAACTTCTATATAGATGACACAATGGAATGGCCAATGTTTATTATCCTTCTAATAACACAGATTAAACCTTGTATATGGACAGCATATTCACACGTAATTGGTTTATTGTATGCTATTATATATATTCACACAACCACAAACACTTGTATGCTATTATATTCACACTGTCGCATGACTATTGTTTTGTGTGCATAGATTAAATAGCTGTGTCTATTGACATAGAAATAACACATGCACGTGCAATGCATGTCTTGAAGAGTGATTGAAAAAAGAAGTTAATATATACTGACCGGTCACTATATTGCTGCCGCCAATAATTGGTACTTCGTGATCATCTGGCATGTATTGTTGTGGAGCTATACCTTCCATTTGTCCTGTAACGAGGTAATGGAAGTTAATACATCATAAGCACCATGCATGTCTGATTTTGCATATGCATGCATGTAAATGAAAACACCTTGAAATTGGTCAATTTGCATCTCCGTTGGTTGGTCATGAACAAGAAAATGATCTTCAAACACCTTCATTCCATCCAAGTAGTGGTTAGAGTCTTTATTGTATCAGCTGAAAGAGAAGGGCATTGTGGTGTTATATGTTTATCAATACCCGCAGAGACGATGTTGATGCTCCAGGACTGAAGACGCTGGGTTTTGGGGTTTGCGGAGATGCTGCTGCTGAATTACCCTTCCTCCAGATTTTACAAAGAGCGATAATAGGCTGTTCACAGATGGAGGATTGAAGATAAATAAAGTTGTGTATATATAAAGTATGTAATTGGATGTGAATACTCTTAGAATGGAAGTAATTAAAGGCTAAATTAAAATTCATATAGCAACTGAGAACATAGGTTATTATATATATACTATAAGTCATCGTAGGAATAAATTTAGTTTCGAGTTGAAATTCTATTTAAAATCTGGAACAGAACCAACTAGGAACATGTGAGATATATAATTAACTGTTGGACTAATACACTGTGGAACAAAGCTAATAAAATCCTAAAGTACAAAAGTAACTGACAAATTAACTGTTCAGACTAAATAGTTTTTTTTCTCGAATACGCAAAAGATTTACGTATCATTGTATTAAAAAGAAGAGTTTAAAGAAACAAACAACGCGCTTCTATCGAGCGTCGAAGGAGGTCGACTTAACACAGCCGAAGCTGGACCATCCTAGCGAAAGACCTCATGTTTCGATATTACATAAAAGGAAAACAACCAATATCGACACAGCTTTGTGGCCTAGGTGGTCTTGCGTCTTCGCGGCTGCCTGGACGGTGCCTTTCCAATGGTCGGGAAGAGCTCGTCCAACACCTCGGCTTCGGACGCAGTCAGGTTGCCGTCGAAGAGCCTGTCAAAGGCCTCCAACTTTGAAGCGGATGGCGTAGATGGATCCTTGGTGTAGCCCATACGCTGCATGATCAGCGTCTCACCTCGCTTGGAAGCTGGCACTCGGGAGAGGCTCTGAGCCGCCAACCGCTAGCTCCGCCACGACAGTACCGGCTTAGCAGGAGGCTGTTTGGGAGGCTCGCGTATCAGCAGAGAGTCCCTCTTACACGTGACATTGTTGATAAAGCTGTCGAGGTGTCGTTTGGCGGAGTCGTCGTTGTCCACAGCCTGGTGGGTAACCCCTGGTGGTGGACTAGAAGGGGCATCCACCATGAGGTCGACCACGTGTTTCTTAGACGAGTCCACTGCCCACTGAATGGGGCGTGGGGGTGGTGTCTGCAGCATAGGAGGCTACCGCATCCTCCAGCTGGGGGGCCGCCACCGCCGGTGCCTCATCAGGAAGCTGTGGGGTCGCCGAAGTTGACGGGAGTTGCTCAAGGGAAGGCCACGCGACGATCTAACTGCCGACGAGTGAGGCTAGGAACTCCTCAATCATCGGGTCCTCCGAGATGTCGCGATCCTGCTTGGCGCCCGGGTACAACATGAGCATCAACGGGTCGGGTTCAACCATGCCCATCGCGTTGGTCAACCCACCGTGCCTTGCCTCAGTTCCAGCAGCGACCGAGGTGAAGTCCGATGCCGTTTGGGCGGCCCCTGTGGACCGCCCGTGACTGTCGGTGGCGACACTCGTTGCCGCAGTGGTGTCGTCCCCCTTCAGTCGGCGCCGACGTCTCTGACGCCTCCGCTGTCTGCGCCCACCGCTGTCGGGCGTGGTCGCACCTGGCACAGCAGCTGCTGCACCCGGCATAGCCCCAGCCGCACTCGACGTGTCGCCCTAAGTACGCGGCCGGTTGCCCAAGAAACGCTCCTGGACAGGGCGTTGTTGCCGGCCTTCTGGGGCACCAACTGTGCCGGAGCCGGAAGGAGGCACCTTCTGCCGCTGCTTATAGTCCCGCGCGAGGTGTCGAAACCCCTTGCATCGGAGGCAGCGTGGAGGCAGCTTGTAGGTTGCCACCCTATGCGCGGTGGAGAGACAGTTGAAGCACTTCCCATGTAGATCCACCGGATAGCGGGTAGGGGGCCGCTGGTTCGCCAATGCAGTGTGGGTGGGGCGTGCCCCTCTGACACCGCTTAACGACCCCTGCGACAAGACCTCACGCCAGCCGTCGACGTCCGGAGCGAAGATGCGCTGGCAGGCGGAGCCCCCTCCGCGACGTCCGAGGCGCTGTCGGGCGGGGACACGGCCATCCACAGGCCGAGCAGGCAGGCTGTGCACCAGCTGGGGACGCGGCCGTGGCTGGCGAGTCCTGCGGTTGCGCCGCCCGTGCACAATGCCAGCACCAGCAGCATTGTTGTGCGCACCTCCTGCGACGTTGGCTGGTCGGGCCCTCTTAGCCAGGGGCGCTTGCCCCGCTCAGCAGCAGCGTTGCCATGAGTGAGGCGCGGCTTGGCACGCTCCAGCAAAGGCGACGTCCGGAGCTGCGACCCCTGGCGGACTGCGTCAAGGTAGGAGGTTGGGGAGGTGACCGGCGACCTCTCTGCGTCAGAGTCGTCAAGGTCCTCATCCACGCAACGACGAGCCTTGGAACGGCCCATCGATCTGCCCCTAGGGTGGAAGGGGGAGGCGAGGGGGGGGGGACAGAGAGGACGACGGGCTGGGCGCGGAGGGGTGCACGAGGAAGATGTCAAGCCCCGACGCCGGATTAGGCAGCTGTGGCGAACTAGGCGCCAAGGCGTCCTCGTCATCCGAGACGTCCTCGACGAGAACCAGCGACTCGTCCTCCACCCGCCGTGATTCGGGCTAGGCGGTGGGGGGCAGAGACGGCTCCCCCACAGGGCTGCGGGGAGCTCGTGTCGACAGTGTGATAGAACAGGTTTAAGAAATAATCTGTAAATACCACGTTAGCGAAATAATTCTAATTAAAAATAAGACAAAAATGGATGATTAAACCAAAGGAAAATCGAATGTAGAACATCGGTGTAGGGATCAATATACCATCCTAGTCTAGCTAGATAATTAAGGCATCAGCAGTATACATGTAGTGATGAAAACGTCAATATAATATAATTATATATACAGTGCATATATACCTTTTCCTGGTTCAACGTGAGTTCAATCATGTGAAAGTCCTTTCTTGTGATGACCAGCTTGTCCACCCGAATCTGATCGGGGAAGCCATTCTTGGGAGCCCGCCCGCTCTTGCTCATCCAGGTCTGTCCGTCCTCTGTCTTCCGGCTGACATTTTGGCCGCTGCGCTGGAGCTCTGTAAAGCACCAAAGGGATCCCACTCCGCCGAAGGACAGATCGCTGGCCTCCCAGTGCTCCATGTCCATGGTAGGGTGAGCTGCTGATGAAGCAACAAATCATAAGCTATACATATAGAATGAGTAATTAAAGCTCGAATGAGAAGAATCAGATGAGTATGATCGCCTAGACCTAGACGCTTCATAGTTCTTACTGGCGCTTTCTGCTACCGCCACTTGCTTGTAGACTCGGCGCCATGGTATGAACTCGAAGCTCTGAGGGAAGCTCTCAAGCACAGAGCTTCGTTTATGCGCATCTGTGCCACGGAGGTAGCTGTCCATGATGGCGAAGATCATCATGGCATCTCGGATTAGCACCATGGTCGCTGCTCTAGCTCCGACGAGCTGCTGGATTAATTCACTTCCTCTGGGTAAAGACTAGAGAGCGTGCCCTTCACGGAGAATCGAGACTGATTGGTTTTGATTGATCGAGCCACAACCCAAGGAATCGGGGGTCATATGAGTGGTGATGATGACGTACATCGCCACTGGACCGACCCCGCCCCCTCAGCCCTCGGGAAGAGAGGAAGAAAGACGCATCGGTGACCTAGAGAAGTGTGTGTGAGAAGGGTGTGTTTGATCGGATAGAGCTAGTTACTAGTTGGCGCTAAAAATTAGGGTAAAGTAACTAAAGTTGGCTAGTTAACTTGCAAACAACTAGTAGGAGCTTTGCTAAAAAATTAGTCTGCCTATTAGATCTCTATTTAAATAAGCTAGAACTAAAAATTAACTGAATAACAATTAACCATATGAATCCAAACAGGCCCTATAAAGCTATGCTAAACAAACCATTTTCACAAACTTGTGTTATACTAGAAATACACTTTTACATGGTTATGTTCTATGTTCTTCATTCCTTCTTTCTTTTCTACAGTCACGTACATTAGTTTTGTCCTAAATCAAATATTACTAGTTTTGATCATCTATTTAAAAAAAAGTCTTAAAGCTTTAAGACCTATGAAATTTATATATTATGAAAGTATTTTTCATATTCATAAATCTTATGTCACGAATCTATACAATTTTTTAAAAATTGATGGTCAAAAATACAAATATTTGACTTAGGACGAATCTAATACGACATGTAGATAAGAACAGAGAGAGTACAAGCACGTATATATGCTAGCTATTTATTAGGCTTGTGCAGATGGTCCATAAAATCTTTTAGAGAATAACACGCACGCCAATGTTTTTTCTTTTGGATCTACCACCAGTCAGTAGTACTACTCCGTCCGTTTCAGATTATAATAAGTTGCTTTAATATTTTTGGTATATTGAACTTGTTTTGTATCTAGACTTATGTTATGTCTAGATACCTAGAAAATTAATATACTATAAAAGTCAAATCAACTTATAATTTAAAATAGGGAGTAATTAATATGGTGATGTCAGTATTACACAGTTCCTCACATATATGCTGAAAACAAATAGGTTCAGGTCAAGCCTGAAATACCCATAGCCTTACGAGTAATAATTTTCTGTTAGTTTTTATTATTTAGCTTCTGTCTATATGTATAGTTTTTATTTGCGCCATATACGTACCTTCTAATTATGTCATAAAGGAAAAATGTCTCGATCTAAGATAAACACAAGGATGAAAATAGCTGAGCCTCCTATTTCCATGCCATGCATTCATGCGGGACTTACAAATTATGTTTTTAAAACGCGATGTAATCCTAATAAAAAAGCTATATCAGCACTTTCGTCCTGAACTGCCCAAGATTATGCTAAGCAACAAGCTTCGCCTTTTTTTTAACAAGAAACTAAGAATATAACACAGTACAGATGGTAAAACCAGAAGAAATATAATAATAATAAAGGAATAAAATAAACTTTCCACTATAACTGAGATAAAAGCGACACATGGGACTGAGATATCTAGGGGGCTTACATTTCAGTATACTCTTCGCGCATTGGTAGCTTGTTTAACGTAACCAAGAAGAATCCGGAAGTGTGCTCCATTTGTCAGCAAGCAATAGGCGTAAGCAATGTGTTATAGGGTGTTCAGAGATACATTGCTTACGCACAGATGATACACTTTCCACAAAAGCTTGCAATCATATCCAAAACTTTTTGTACCGGTCAAAAGCAGCACGTTCGTTCTGACGGACCACCGCATGGCGGCCCCAGTTCTGACCCATCCTGGGAAAAAAAATCCACTACGCCAGATTGCATTGGTAGAGGCGGCTCCTGTAGCATCGGTTTTGGCAGCTGTCTCTATTAAATCGTGACTACAAATCATCAATTCGTAGGAGCGGTTGGCCAGCCGCTCCTACAAATCGATTTGTAGAGGCTCCTGCAAATCAATTTTCAAAAATCACGAAAAAAGAGGAAAAAATAATAATTTTTTTTAATCCGTGGAAGTCTCCACCAGCAATCACACACCCACTCTATGGTTGTAGCATTTTTTTCACGATTTTTGCACACTTTGCGTCACCCGGGATTCAAACCCGTAACTTCTCCCTCGCGCGCAAACTCCTCTACCACTGCACCTCACAATCACTTGTGTCTACGATCCATTTTGGTTCCCCACATATTATACAAAATTGAGCATAAATTGATTGTTTAAGGCCCTAAACTAATTCAAATGAAAAAGTTGTCAACTACAAAGTTTTATAACTTTTTGAGATCTACAACTTTCATTTTGGTAGTTTCTCCATCTGAGGTCACTTATAAAATTTGAATTTTAAATTTGAGAAATTCGAACGTAGTTTTCCATGACAAGATGATTTCAAATAAGAAAGTTATCAACTACAAAGTTTCATAACTTTTCAAGATCTACAACTTTTATTTTTACTGTTTGTCCATCCGAGGTCGTTTAAAAAAATAAAATTTCAAATTTTTGAAAATTCAAATATAGTTTTCCTTGACAAGATGATTTCAAATAAAAAAGTTATCAACTACAAAATTTCATAACTTTTCGAGATCTATAACTTTTATTTTGGTTGTTTCTCCATCTAAAGTCGTTTACAAAATTTAAATTTTAGTGCTTAATTTTTAATACTCGACGTCTATTTGTAGGGGCAGTTTAATATTAAGCCGCCCCTACAAATCCGATTTATAGGGACGGCTGGATATAAAGCCGGCCCTACAAATCGGGTCATTTGTAGGGACGACTGATAACACCGGCCGCCCCTACAAATGATTTGTAGGGGCGGCTCATTTGGCAACTATTTGTAAGGGCGGCTCAATACAAAGAAAGAGAGACGTTGTCACAGATCGTTTATGTAGTAGTGATTCAGTGATCTAGTATCCACTACAAGGCCGTGCATACGTGCTTCCGATTCCTGCCATGTGGACGCCTAAAGATATCCAACGAACGCTGCTTGTTGTCTGCGAGCCGAGTGAGTTGTGCGGGCCTGCAACTCTGCAAGACATCACGCATCGTGGGAGAGAACTTGTGCGAGCCATCACGCGCCGCGTCAGATTTTTTTTGAACATCGACGTGGCAGGAATCGGGTCCTGTATGCATGTACATGCAGTAGATACCGGAAGCACCGAATTTTTTCCCATCCTGGGACCTGGGCAGCACCACAGTATGCGCCACGTCAGGGTTGCTATATGGGAAATTTTTCATGTTTTTGTGTTTTTCCTGTGAAAGATCGATAAACTGGTTTTCAAAAAAAAATTCTTATACAATTTCTGTAAAATTCCTGTGTACCAAAGGAGCACATAAACAATTTCAGGAGACAGGAGATTTTACTTTTAGGACGAATTGTTTTTTCACTGTTTATATAAATCATCAAGGCTCCAATGTCCATTCACCTCTCAAAACCGAATTTTTGAAGATGGTCTTTTAAGAAGGTTGCCTATGTAAATTACCATATCTATAGCTGACTTTTAGAACGAATTGTTTTTCAACGTCTCTATAAAATCATCAAGGCTTCAATGTCTAATCACCTCTGAAAACTGGGAATTTTTCAAGATGGGTCTTTTAAGAAGGTTGTCCATGTAAATTACCCTCTTTAGATTGTAGGAAAGTTTCCTGTTTTCTGATTCCTATAAAAATGAACTGTTCCTATGAAATTCCTATACAATTCCAATAAAATTCGTGCGTTCCAAGGGGTCTAAAACTATTTTTTAAGATGGATCCCCTATATGGCCCCCCTCATTAGGAATTAAGGCTTCCTTATAAAGTCCGTCCAAAATCATAACCCACAGTGCCTCACTACTAAAAAAAAGCATTTGATGACAAAAAAAGCATTTGTACATACATCTCTCTTTTTTTCAATAGAAGAGGCGTCTCAATTTAAAACCATATCTAAAACTAGTTCCTGAAGCAAGTTGCCTCTAGAAAAGCATTTTGTAGAGGCAGCTGGCATTTTTAGCCGCATCTACAAATTCCCCTACCTTTAGAGGCAGCTCTAGGTTTGAGACACCTCTAAAAATAGGTGTAGCACAGTAAAATCATAACTTTTTCAAACGAATTTAGAGAAATGACAAAAACCAAAGCTATAGTACTTGACGATATCTACAACTTTGTAGTTAATTTTTTTTTTCATTTGAATTCGTTTAGGGTCCCAAATATAAATTTCAAAATTAGGTGAAGTGGAGGGGAATGTTTGTGCCCTTTAGTGACGTGACTTTGGGGTGTAATGGTCAGGTCAGCTACCCACGAGCCCTTAGGTTGCGCAAACAATTGCGTGACTTGTGACGGCGTGCGTGTGGCTTCCTAGTGGGGGCATCCCCAAATTAACTTTTTTTGGGCCTGATTTATGATTTTTGAAAAATAATTTGTAGAGGCGGCTCAAATTTCCAACTGTCCCTAGGAAAAATTCTTTCTGTAGTAGTGTTTACCTCTCCTAACTGCCACCACCCACCTCTCAATCTCATCTTCTCCTCTCTGCACCTCCACCCCTCAATCTCTTCCGCTCAGATCCACACCACAGTCATGTCAAGCCCTTAAGATAACCCACCTGCCTCAAAGAGTCGTGATCCCCAGCTATGTTTTTTTTTTCAACTTCTAGGTAGTAGAAGCCAGCAAAAAGCTAAAACAAATAGGCCTTGAGTCATCATCTGTTGCTCATGTATAGTGGACATTGTACTAACAGCTCGTCTACACCATTCTAGAGGAAGAGAAAATGAGTTAAATCACTTTATTTTTTTTCATTAGAGGCACCTATAGTTTTGTACATATGAATAGGTTGATCATTCTTTATATCAAGTTTTGTATTTTAATTTTTCAACATTTATTTTGACACTCTTATGTTGAGCTATCTTATTTTCCTAATATACATCATTTTGAATTTAAATTATAATTCTCATTTTGCTTGAAGGAGAAGACAGTGATTCGATCACTTAGTCAACATCAATAAGCTACT